CCTCCAACCCTGAAATTTCATAACTAGAGTAGTCATATAGGAAGAGATAAAAGAGACTTGTGAACCTAAAATCCTCATACTAGAGAACAAATGGATGTATACTAAAAAGCTATAGGAAAAGGCATCTTCCAAAATCATAATGTTGCCATAGAAAGAACTACATACCATTCATAAGACATAGAAACAGCAGGTATATCATTAAAGAAGGCCTCCCTAGCGCCTGCAACTGTGCCAGAGTAAACACTGAATTCCAATAATAAGTCAAATCAGTTAAAAAGGATGCAAACATGGACCAACCATATAGAAGAACTACATAAGCAGCTTCAATAGCAATAAGAAAGTCCAAGAATATGCCTTATACTTGGGGAACTTCCAAATCTTGTGAGCAGGATGACTTAATTACCTTGTTACAAGTAAGTGGTATCTCAAAATCTTAAATTAGATCACTTATTGAATCTATATTTTTCTGGAAAGATGATGATGTGCATCAGGAATATAATGTAATGCTCTTAATGCTTACTCCAGAACATAAGAAAGAAATATTATTGTCCAAAAGAACCTTGAAACAATTCTAAGTCCTAAGAACTTTAGACAGACATACTACAAGTAAAGTAACAGGTCTGATGAATCTTACTTTTGACCATCATACTGAAGATGATCTGTAGCAAACTGCATATATTAGAAGGGGAGAATAGAGTGGCTGCATGTACAACCAAACTCATCCACATGTTATCATAACAGGTGAACAAAAAGTTTCAGACACCACTATCATTATATATTCTCTTGAATCTCTTCTCCTCTCCATACTCTTAACAGAACTTAAAATTTGAAAGGTTAAGGAAGAACTAAGGATTCTACAGCTTAAATGTCAACAATATCATAAGATAACTAATATGCAAAGGGACAAGGAGTAAAAGAACAAACTACTAACATGTGATAACCACAGTTGCTACCCATGTTTATGCCACTGATTACCTGTAAAGCAGAAAGGAGAATAAAAGTGATTACCAACATTAAGTCTGATGCACCACAAATAATAGAAAAGAGGCTTAATTGTCTCACATGTATCCATACAAGAAACAAAAAGGTTTTCAAAATGGCATGATCTCAATCCCCTCTCTCTCTCTCTCACTCTCACCAAAGAGCAACCTGATGACTAATTCATGTGCATGCCTGAGCCCTTGAAGATGAGGATGTGGATTGAATTATAATTATCCAGATGCATTTGGCAAGTTGAGAAGAGTTAAATGATGTCCCTCTCGATGTGGTCAAACAAGCAAGATTCAAACATGAGAGAAATGAAACAATCTGAGCTTTAAAGTACAAGAGAGTACCAGATCAGGAACTGAAGGAAAGAGAGATCCTGAGATACCCAAAGAAGCGCAATCTGCTGGCGTCCCTGCAAAGTATACACGACACTAAAGTTTCATCACGAATTTACTGAAACCAGTGAACAACATCCGTTAGAGATTTAAATTTGAGATGCTGATGAATAATTGAACTCTCAAGGCATAGATGATCTCAAAAATTAAAACAAAACAAATGGACCCATTTCTTTGGGAAGGGGAAAAAACAAACTTCCAAAAAAAGTTGCAGTAGAATCCCAGATATATAATATAACCACAAGAGCAGACCACAAATTTCTATTTGAAGATCAATCCTTCATTTACTTTCCCAAGTGCTTTTCTCTCAGTATAAGTTTTATTTAAAAAGAAGCAGAATCATAAAACAATGAACTTGGGAAACTGTTCCAACTTCCAATATGACTCTGAAGATTGGAAATGGAATTCGGGAAAAGTACTTCTATACTCTGAGGAACCAAATGTAGACTGAATTACAATGCATGAGTGGAGGTTCGATTATACTACTAACACAAATTAACCAGAGACAAAAGCATGATAAGACTCAGCTGAAATTCAAAAGAAGAAACCATTAATGAGGAAAAAAGAAAAAGAAAAAGAAACCAGAAACTGCATAAGCTGTTGCTCCATCGATGTCTACTCGCTTTGCAGAAATAGGATGACGCCAAGTAATGCTATGACTGACAGCTGAGTTTTCCCTGGTAATCAAAAGACAATTCAAAATCGAACTCAACCAAAATTCCACCTAAAAAGCATTCGATTCAACTAATTACCATCACGCAATTGTCTTTATCCACAAGCAAAACTTCACTAAAACAAACACTTAGTAATTATTCAACGTCAAGAAGATCAGAACGGCGATCGGATCTCAGAACAATTCGTCTAAAGAATGACCGAGCTGAACAATTCATAGACTCTAGAACTGAAACATAGAGTCACAGAAAATGAATAATTCAGAGAAATACTGAAGTGGCGGTACGTACGAGCCCGGAGCACAAACCAAGACACGATAGCGATTAGCGGAGACGAGGACGCGGACCAGAGACCGGAGGCCTGGTGCGTCAATTCCATCGTCGTTGGTGACCAGGATCGTCGGGAACTGATCGGAAGCATTCACGTCGATGCTGTTCGCCATTTTTGCCGCGGAAAGTGTGACAACCGGCGAAACAGTATTGATAAATAAATGGTAGAGAATTTTTTCTCCTTCCTTTTTCCATTTTTTTTTTTTTAATCGAAGGAAAAAGGACGGAGGGCGAGAATGGGGGCAGTAAGGCACGAGGGATGGTAAGTTCCGTTTGTTTAAAGAACTGGTTGGTTAATAAATTCTGTTGTAATCTAAACAGGAGCTTTTATTCATAATTATAAGGAAAAATAATATGTTAAGCTTCCAAACTAATTTTAAATTTGTCATTGTACTTTTAGATTTTAATTGATATATATAAATTTTGATATTAGTGTTTGTCCATTTTATTTTTAAAAATTATAAAGAAAAATAATAAAAAAATATTTTAATTTATGATATAAAATTAAGATATTTTAATATTTTTCAATACATATTTATTAAAATGACGTAATTTTGAAATAATATTCCCTTTAATCTTTAGGTGATAAAATGGATAAGCATTATTCTCATAAATTTTTACACTCTATCATCTAAATAATTTAGCTCTTAATTTTTAATTATTATACAAATAAGGGTTAAATTACTGTAAGAATAAGAACTAAATTACTATAAGAATAAAGATTAAACTACGCAAAGAATAAAAATTAAATTACTGAGATCATAGAGTTCAAGGACTTATATGTATTAATTAAAGTTTAAAGTTCAATAACAAATTTGAAGTTAGTTCATGAGCTTAACATATAGTTTTTTCTAAATATATAACACATTTTTATTCCGATATTTTATTTAAAAATATAAATTTATTATAAAATAATTAATTTTAATTAATAATTTATATTTTTAAGATAATAAAAGTAAAAAATTATAATTAGACATAAACAAAATCATATTACATATTTTGTTTGAAGAAAATAAATGAGTTTATTGATTCTCTTTCTCTATTTTTTTTTCATTTTCTTCAAATTAAATACACCATTAATAATTTATTATTAAAGCTAATAGTTTATGAGTTAAGAGTTTATGAAAAACCTAAAAAAAAAAAAATTACATCTCATGTTGCAATTTAAAATAAAAAAATATTACAAAATTTCAAATTAATAATATTTATATAACATTTATTATTAGACGAAGGGAATTTCCTAATATTAGAAGTTTCCCTCCGCTCATGTCGTTCGGATGGAAAACATAAAACTCTTCAACGTATCAAAAGAACAATCAATAGATTTTGTAAACTATTTAAGTAATCTAACGGATAATTTTTTTTTTTGTTAAAAATAAAAAATTCTGACTTCAAATCGCATAACATAAGAATGAAATGAGATAAAAAATGAAATATATATAATTTTTATTGTGCAACCAATTGGGAAAATATATATATATATCAGTCAACAGATTTTCAGTCTATAGCTAGTGGGCCGGCTAACGGGCTCAGAGCCCAAGGCCTAGATTTCAAAAGAGTTGGTTAGATTGCACTAATCCAGTATTGG